AAGGAAGCAGTTTTGGGGAAAACAGCAACATTTTTTTTTTTTTTTTTTTTTTTTCTATGTCTGGAAATTTATAATGTCAGGGCTCCTTATTCACCAACCTTTAGTTGAATACATTTTAGATATTGGGATTAGAAGAAGATGTCTTTAGAGATTTATTTGGTTTGTCTTCTGTGGCTTTTTTCTAGGAGTTTATTCAGTATATTAAGTCTTCCTCCAAATCTGGTTTAACTCTTTCCTATAAGAGTGCCTTATGTTTGTTTCTTTTACTTAGCCCTTTGAAGTAGACCTTTCCCATGTGTATCTCGCCTATACTGAGGAGAGTCTGCGTCAGTCTTTGATGAAATTAGAAAGGCCACGGACTTCAAAGGGAAAAGCAAGGCCGAAGACAGGGAGAAGGTAAGGACTGTCCTTGAATCTCATGTAATGAAGGCATTGAGATATTCTGATTAGATACATTTAAAGGAAGTTAAAATTTATTTAGTTAACATGATAAATATTTTAGCTGATATATTAAAAATCAAATTTCTTATGTAACGATTTGAGTGAATAAAATCTTGGTAAAGGATTAAGGTCTTCCAACTTCTGTAGCTCTCTTTATAAAAGAATATTTTTAATTTACTGTGTTCTTTCCAAATGTATATTGGATCACCTAGTGTCTTGTTTAATTCCTTAATTCCTTTTTTTTTTTTTTTTTTGCGGCTGGCCAGTGCAGGGATTGAACCCTGAACCTTGGTGTTATCAGCACCATGCTCTAACTAACTGAGCTAACTGGCCAGCTGTTAATTCCTTAATTCTTGCACTAATTTTTCCAGTGAGATGCTAATTAATTTGCCTGGTCAGACTCCCAAGGTACTGTATTCAGCTGATTAATTTTTCTGTCATAAACATCACCCCAAGAATATTCATTTCCTCACAGTCACCAGTTAAGGAAAAATTCTCTGGCCATCTTTCCCTCTCCTTTGTGTGCTGGTTTTGACTGTTGGGTAGTCTACATATAATCATCACATAAGCTCAGGGAAATCGGGATGTGGGAGCCCTGGGCTCGAATTTATTTCTTCTCTCCCTACACTACATTTAAGCTGACAGTAAGACTTTGGGGCTCATGAAATGATAGAAAATCATAGGCTTCTTTTTCCCTTATTTAAGTGAATGGGCTTTTGAGTTACATGTAGGGTGAAGTTGTATGGTTTTAATATTTTTGTGTTACATATTCTCATAGATATAACCTAACACTTATAAATTTACAATAGTTGAACTTGGGGTGGAAGGAATCAGTTGCATATTGAAAGTGTATAAATTTTTACATTCTTAGCATTTAGGCAAAGGGTTAAAAACTTTCATATGTGTGGGCCAGCCCTGTGGCGCACTCGGGAGAGTGCAGTGCTGGGAGCGCAGCGACGCTCCCGCCGCGGGTTCGGATCCTATATAGGAATGGCCGGTGCACTCACTGGCTGAGCGCGGTGCGGGAGACCCCAAGCCAAGGGTTGCGATCCCCTTACCGGTCACGAAAAAGACAAAAAAAAAAAAAAAATCACAATGTCTACTCTGAACAAAGTTAACTTGAAATAAATGTGATTTAAAATTCACATTTACAGATGTGTCAGCATGTGAAAATGGCAGCAGAATCGATTCAATGAAGATCTCAAAATAGATGTCTTATTGAACTGACTAGTCAACTTAATCTAAATCATCTAAATTTGTCACCAATGAATGAAGCAAATCAGTTCTAAGAAACCTGAGTTCCTTTTAGATCTTTTACTTTTTCACTTTTAATAGGGATATTTTTCTCTTAACTCTGCAGTTAGTAAGAAAAATGACAATGCAAGTATGATGATAAATGATAAGACAGCTGACCTCAGTGTGGGAGAAAAACAGGTAGTGGTGGGGACTGGGGCAAACTAGAGAGCAGTTCTCTCTAACATGAGATGGCTTTTATTCTGTTCCTCTTTGGTTGTGGGAATAGAGGGCTCATTGTTTCTGGATATTCTCTTTTCTAAGGAGAAGCCAGAAATCTGGATTATTTACATGAGCTCTCTGAATTTTTAGTTACTTTTGTTTTGCTTTGTGGACTTAAAACAAACAAATAAATAATTTGATATTTGGATACAGTTTCCAGAATGCTCATTTTAAAATATGTACTTTTTTTATTTAACCGAAAAATAATATGTGTGGGCCAACATTATGAAAGCCAAACCCAGCATATCTGTGTACCAGATTTAGCCTGCCATATAATGAAAACCCTAAGAAAATGATAGTCATAAATATCAGCAAATACACAGAAAAAATGGTTCATTAATATGTTGCATTGCACGTTATGTTTAACGTGATCTTCCTCATTAGAAACACATAGTTCGATGTGCTGGGCAAAATTGCAATAAACATGGTACATTAATGTAGTATTTCCATCAGTCCCTCTACACATGCATCTGTGACGTGTTGCCTCAAATGATTTGTGTCTCTGATTTTCACTGAATTCACATGCACCGTTAGCATACCCCAAAAGAGATCATCAGGGGTTTCAGATCCAGCAAGCATGCAGCCCACTTGGCCTGACCACATTGTCTGGTCCAGTTTTGGAAATTACCAACCACCCAATCCCTCACTACTCTAGCATAATGGGATAGGGTGCCTACTCTAGGTGACCTTCTCCTAGCCTGAAAGGGTCGGCATTAATTGATTACTTAACATGGTCAAAAATGTTGAATATTGGCATGTTTCCAGACTCTATGGCCACCTTGTATTTTCTACTACGTAATGTAAAGTGTTTGCATTTTAGTCTTTTAGGAAAACATTCATGCTTTCTTTTTCTCTTCTCCAAACAGAAAGCGTTCTGCAAAGCCTGAAACTGTAATTGACTCTTTACTTCAATAATGTTACAGACTTACAGTCATAATAAAAATTAGTGATATTCTCATGCCTGGAAAAAATTTTTAATTAAAACACTGAAGACTTCTGTGTAATTGCAAATAATGGAAGCTGTAAATGATGAAGTAAGATTGGAAATAGTAATTTGCCTAATAACGTTTAGTCTGTAGATATTAAGTTAATATAACATTAAAATTGTACAACTGGTGATTGTTCAAATTGTCATACTACAATTATACTGTGCAGGGAAGTTGGAGGAGCAGTTTATACTATAGAGAGTTGAGGTTTAGATGTATATGTAAATCTGTTAGCTATTTACCTACCCAACTACTGTATATTTAGATAACCAAAATTTCAAAAGAGAAAAAAAAGTATGTCATGTTTTGCACATGGAAAGTAGCAGATCAAATTATCCTATGTTGTGCTGTTATGTATGAATGTTTGGGCTGCACATCTAAGAAATGACTCTATCCTAACACTAACCTGCCAAGCCTGTTCAAATATGTTCTAGTTTTTAAACTAACACTGATTGCATTTTAAGTATGAGGTGACTGATCTTATTGATCTTCTGTAGAAAATTTTATAATTCAGCAGTCAATCTTTGCAAGTATATATGTTTAAAAAAAATGTTGAAAATGTACTTCATCTGGACCTCTCCTGACCTTTTTTTGCCATTTTGAGTTCAAATCAAACGTACATTTCTTTTCTGGTTTTGTGTTCTCTTGAACTATTGAATTGTACCTAAATATAAAGGAGCCACAGTTTCAGAAAATTAAGAAGCTAAGTACTGGTCACTTAACTTTGCCTGTATGTGTATTTTTAAAAATTCACTTTGAAATATGACTTATGGATGCTTTCCTTTGTCTGAGTTCCAAATTTTGGTGGAAATTACTCTGTATCTCCCAGATGAGAAGAGTCTCCATTTTCCAGAAAAATGCAGCTTAAGCAAGAAAAATATCTTTTAATCCGTTGCCTTTAAAACACTTTGTTTTATTTTACTTCATATATATATATTTTTTCCTTTTTGTCTTTTTTACTGACCGGTAACGGGATCGCAACCCTCGGTGTCGCGCCCGTACCGGGGACCGGCAACGGGATCGCAACCCTCGGTGTTGCGCCCGCACCACGCTCAGCCAGTGAGCGGGAACCGGTCTCCACATGGGATCCGAACCCTCAGCGGGAGCGCCATATATATATTTTTTCCTTTTTGTCTTTTTTACTGACCGGTAACGGGATCGCAACCCTCGGTGTCGCGCCCGTACCGGGGACCGGCAACGGGATCGCAACCCTCGGTGTTGCGCCCGCACCACGCTCAGCCAGTGAGCGGGAACCGGTCTCCACATGGGATCCAAACCCTCAGCGGGAGCGCCGCCGCGCTCCCAGTGGCGCACTTCTCCAGTGCACCACCGGGCCGGCCCTACTTCATATTTTATATAAAGAAAATATTCTTCCTTGAATTTCTTCTATTGATTAATTCAGTTAGACCACATTCCTCAAAAAATAAAAATTATGTTCATTTTGTAGTAAAATAAGTTGTAATAGAATTATTTGTTCTTTTATTGGCTGGTTGTTTACAAAATTTTTATTTTTTTGAAAGTTATTCTAGTCCTAAACCACTTAATATATCTTTTGTGGGTTTTCAAATTATGTAATCAGCCCTCAAACACATTGATTGTAAAGGTTTGAGACTTCACAAGTTAGTATTTATTAAATTAATATTATTTTAATAAGTTTGGTTAAATATTGGTTTATAAATTACAAAGCTGTGTGTGTATAGAGTAGGGGTGAATGAAGGTGGAATATTGTTGAGGTGGTGGTAAAAATGTGTCCATAAATTTAAAGTACATTCCAGAAGTACAGTACTAAATGTCCTTTGTATGATGAGTATTTTCTAGGTAATTAGAATTGCATTTCCTGGCAGCATTTTTTTTGTAGTATGTAAGGTAGTTAGAAGTTTATAACTTTACTCTATGGGGCATTGTTTAGGTACTGTGAAGACTTGAGGCGAATATGTGTCTTTTAAAAGCTTTGTGTGAGCAGAATACCTTGGTAATTATAAAATGTTTTTGAGTATGCACATTTAACTTTGTTAGTAATTACAGAAATTTTAATTTCACAAAGTAGAAAAAAAAGATCAATGCTGCTTCTTTTTAAACACCCATATTTCTAGCCTTTAACAATTCAGTTAATAAGAAAGGAATAACTTTAGCTTTAAAATATTATAGAAATTTAAGCCAGTATGTTAGATATCTTTTCTATCCTACCCACCACAATAACAAAAAGAAATACATAAAGAGTCAAAATATTGAGAAATTTTTAAAATAGGCTGCTTTAGCAATTAAAAAAAAATTGTGCTACAACTGATTATACCAGATGGACATTAAGTAGTCATCTTATGAAATACCAAAATTATATATTCAAGGCAGGCCTGAATATCCACATGAAAATATGGGACACTGACTTTAGCTCCAATTCATTTAGCTCCAATCATAGCATTTCTGTGGTTTCTTCACATTTTTGGTGTCTATGTCCATAAATGAAATCTTTTGTAACTTCAGTGTTAATTTCATGAAAAGGTATAGATGAACACTTGCTCATTTTTGAAATAAGTGTGCAGAAATGAGTGGCACATATATATATATGTAGGTTATTGAATGAGTATTCACTTTTCCCTTTTATTTAAAAAGTAATATTTATTTATTAACAGAAGCATTGGTAGAATGTTATTGGTTTATAGTATGTTCTTTAACAAACCCTGTAATTACATATACTAATAGTTAGGATATTAAGATATAACAGTGTTCCCCATTTTTGTTTAGATTTTTGTAAAGTATAATATTAATCAAGTGGGTGGGGGGGATCTTTCATCTCTCTATATGTTTGTCCAAATAGAATCCATTTGAAAAGCTATCTCATTTATTTTCTGGAAAAAGGGAATTTTTTTTTACAGCAAGAAATTTAAGATTATTTTGGGGTTGCTTTTGGGGTGGTACTACTTAATCTGTAGTATGTTTTTAAAATTATGATTATGGTTTTGGGGTTGATTTTTGTTTTGTTTGTTTTTTATTTATTTTTAGTCTGTTTTACCCCTCTACTCTTACTTCAAAAGTCCCTGTCTTTCCTACAAGGCTGTGAATTAAGCAATGGGTAGAGTTTACATTTAAGTACACCAGAAGTCTGCCCAATTTCTTAATGTATACATTGTTTTCCTTTTTAATTATCCTTTGTTCTTAAAATACTAGAAGAAAACATAGATCTTTCTAGTGCCTTTGAACTTATACCATAGTCTGACTAATTTAAATCAATAACTTAAACAGCATTACTACAATACTGTATGTATACTGGTCAAAATCACAACTTGTACAATGAGTTTGTTGTATTAGTTTCAAAAGCCACATTTTCATTGTATTTTATGTATAAACTATTTGTTCAAGTTGTATATATCAATATTGTATGTATCCGTGCAGCATGATTAAATAAGAAATAAAAATCTTTTACCTAATGCCTATAGTAGTGGTCTGCTTCTTTTCTGAACTATTTTTGTGTTTACTTCCATCCTGATATTAATGAATGGGTTCTTTGTGTTTGGCATCTCAATTTTGTATAGTTAAGAGAGGCTTATATAATTTCACACCCAAAAACTCTTAATGTTATGGGTCTTTTAAACAGAAATCATCATGAAACAAATTTGGAAGAAGTGTTTTAAATATGCTTCTTTTCATTGATAAAATTTATTTTCACCAGAATATTTTTATCCGTGTTTTGTTATCCTTTTCATTAGGTGTTTGAGAACAGAAACTAGTTCTCAGGTCATAACTTAAAGAAGTGTGCGTGTATAATGTATCCCACTAAAAGGTAAGAGTAAACATTGCTTAGTGGGAACAATACCATGATCTCATTCAAAAACTCTTCATAAGCTTAAAGTATCTTCAAAACAATAACATTGCTTGGATTATTGTTAATCATATTTTTTTTTTTGACAAACATTGATTACCAGGCACTATGCTAGGTAGCCTTAAGAAATTCAAAGTGGACATTGAGAAATTTTGATTTGTCAAGTTTTTTTTTTTTTTTTTTTCCTTTTTGTCTTTTTTCGTGTCCGGCAACGGACCGCAACCCTCAGTGTCGCACCCGTACCGGACCGGGACCAGCAACGGGATCGCAACCCTCGGTGCTGCGCCCGCCCCTTGCTCAGCCAGTGAGCGGGAACCGGTCTGTATGTGGGATCCGAACCCTCGGCGGGAGCGCCACCGCGCTCCCAAGCGGCTCACTGTAGCAGTGCGCCACTGGGGCCCTGTCAACAAGTTTTGAAAGACTTTTTTAAAATTGTGCTTTTTGCATAAGAAAAGAGACTTTCCTGGCCATTCCAGGGCTTTCTGTCTTCCTTTTCCCAACTGCTATCTTGTGTAAAATTCCTGTATGTGTGTAATTTGAAATTAAAGGCCTGCCATGGCATAAGCAAGGTAATAAATAGTGCTGCCTTTGCACCTCTATCCCTTTTCCCCAGTTATGTTTGGGAGCTGTGATATCCACTTTCATCAAGCAATACCACTAAGGTGCTCCCTTAGGAAACCTATTACTGACTGAGTTGCCAGAGTGCTGCTAAGGATATTGTCCATCATATCATGTCATGAAGACCTCAAGAGAAATCTCTTTCAAAGCTAAGTACCAGCCTAAGGGGCCATTTTCCTCCCTTATGAATAACAAGAATGTGTTTTTCATTTTGCTTTGGCTGACAGGACTGTAAAATCTGATGACCTGCTTACCTATAGTCTGTTTTCCTCTGGATCACTATTTCCTACTCCCTTTCTTCTTAAGTCGTAATAATATTGTTATTTTATATCAACCTTTGCTAATAAATCACTTTCTTTTTTTTTATTTTTATTTTTATTTTATTTTATTTTTTTAAATTTTATTTTGTCGATATACATTGTGGTTGATTAATGTTGCCCCTTACTAAAACCACCCTCCCTCCTCCCTCTCCTCCCTCCCCCCAAAAAATGTCCTTTCTGTTTGCTTGTCTTATCAACTTCAAGTAATTGTGGTTGTTATATCTTCTTCCCCCCGCCCCCAGTTTTTTTTTTTTTTTGTGTGTGTGTGTGTGTGTGTGTGAATTTATATATTAATTTTTAGCTCCCACCAATAAGTGAGAACATGTGGTATTTCTCTTTCTGTGCCTGACTCGTTTCACTTAATATAATTCTCTCAAGGTCCATCCATGTTGTTGCAAATGGCAGTATTTCATTCGTTTTTATAGCTGAGTACTATTCCATTGTGTAGATGTTCCACATTTTCCGTATCCAATCACTTTCAATCTATTTTTAAAACAAGGTAGTATACAAATAAATAGACTACAGTTAGCCTGTGCCTTACAGGAACAGTTAAAGCATTTCTGAAGCCACAGACTAAACTTAAAGCGAGCTAAAGGAGCCTTCCAAATGCGTCTGTTATAACATTATCTGAATTTCTCATTCTTAAGCTGTTTCATTTGCAAAGCAAATCAGGTATTCAGTCCTCCTTCAGAAGTTGAACAAATGTGTGGGAAAATGACTATGAAGAGGCTACTTCAAAAAGAACCTGTTTCCTCTCAGCACTTGTCTTGGGCTTCCTGTGACCCAATCTTCAAGTTACTTTTATCAATGTTATCAGAACATCAGATTGTCTTACCCAAACATGTTTATGGCTCTGACTAAAGAATATGACAGATCAGACATTCTTCCACACCTGCTCTCCTCCCCCATCCCTTTTTAGAGGGCTGGGGAAATTTTAGCTTTTAATCAAAGACTTTATTTCTCCAGCAGCACAAAGGAATTTAACTGGGACTTTACAACTGAATAAAATATTTCTCAGTGTTGATACCAATCTTAGCAAGAGGATATTGCCTAACCCAACCTAAAAGTACCAGAGTCATTACAGAAATATTATGTTGGCCTTGATTTCTATTCAACCATGAGTTATGCCACTCAGTCACCAGGTGCCCTGTTTTAAGTGTATCTCTTCTGCGGTAGCCCATTATGTTCTGCATGGACATCTCTTTTGTATTTACTGCATACCTGCACTGTGTTGGATAGAACGTCCTTGGGAACACAGAAATGCCCAGCCCTCGCAGAAGTCACAGCCTCGCTTAGGAGGGAGAGGTGGTCACGTAAATGGAGAATGGTGGTGCAGCATCTTGACGGCTGTGGTATAGGAGGGTGAATGGTGAGCTGCCAGGTACAGCTTTCTTCTGTTGCAGCTAGAATGGTGCCTAACATATGTCCACCTGTCCAAAAGGTCGGAAAAGGCTTCTTCTCAGGGGAGGTGCTATTTACGGTCTTAAAGCAGTTCAGATGGGGAAAGGCATTCCAGGTAGAAGGAATAATGTGAGTTTGGATGCCATATGCAGAGTAGTATGCTTGAAGTAGGGCAAAGGGGATGGGAGCAAATGAGCCTGAAAAGAGATAGGCTAGGATCCTATTGTGAAAGAGTTTTCTGTAAGCAGTGGAAAGCCACAGAAGGATTCTAAGTGGGTCGCTCAAACTATTTGTGTTTTAGAAAAACAATTGCTGGAAAGATTGTGAAGGATTAGATGGAGGGAGCAAGACATGACTGCTGGGAGAGCAGATGATGTACACAACTGTGTCCTGGAGGCTGAAATACTTATTAGCCAGAGGAGCTAACTCCTCTTTTCTCAGCTGTTTCTCTTGCCCTTGTGACTGATATAGATGGGAGAGCAAATGAAGCTTTACTTCTCTTTGCTCATGTTGCCTAGCAGGTACTCAGGTGTGCAGTGAGCACACAAAAACATAAGAGCATAGTTTTCTTTAGTGTAACGCTAGCTAATAGGAAAAAATAGACAGCTTAGAGACTAAAAATTCTACTAGGTAGAAGTTACCAGGAAGGATGATTAGAAGAGTGGCACTTAAGAAAGCTAAGGAAGAATGTCTGGGTGCTTAGGGCAAAAAATCCCGTTCAGGAGATGCTGGGCATAACAGCTAACTAGAAGATTTTAGTACCCCACTTGGGAATGGAACTCCAGCCTGATAAATTGAACCCAGAAATCAGCTCCCAAACTAGAGAAAGTGCCTGTCTTGCCCTCAGTGGAAGTGGGTAGGAACTGAGAAGCTAACGTTGTGTTTTGAAAGGCCAGGCTGTGCCTTCCTCCATAAGAAAGCTTTACATCAAACTTTGCCTTGAGATTCCCCATCCTCAGATGATTTGGGCATTCTGAGAGGCCTTCTGAGATGACTTGTGGACAAGGGTGAAGGAGAACTGAGGGCAGGGTCAATGGCATGGACAGACCAATTGTAAGACCGGCCTAAAAGCATAATTTTTACTTGATGGGAAGGCTCATCTCGCAAAGACCAGGAGGCACAGAGATCGATGCAAAAGCAAGAGGTTTTTATTTCCGGCATGCTGGAGGTCGCCCCGTTTTCAGGACAGGAGTGGCCCCGAGGTCTTAACTCCAGCATCTTTTATACAGTTTGGTAGGCAGGCTTTGGTAACAGGCTGGGTTGTACGCTGTTTATTGGCCACTTTAAGCAATTTTTAAAACCATTGGGCTTTTAGCTTTTGGCGGGCAAAGGAAAGACTGAGGTATTGACCAACGGTCCACCCCCCCTCTTTCCTCCCTTGGTGTCCAAAGATAAGGTGTCATGCTGTTCCTGCAATCAGGTGAGCATACTCCCTTCCTGGGACAGGGTGAACTTTGGGCTCTTTGGAAAGTCCCTTCCCCCTGGCAGCGGAAAGTCCTAATCTTCTGGCGACGGAAGGTCTTAAGGCACCTGGTAATGGAAGGTCCTAAGTATCTGGTATTGTTTACCAAAAAGGTTGGGGGTTATCTCTACTTCCACACAATAACGACAAGAGAGCCCCTGTTGCATTTTTACCAGAAGCCAGCATTTCTTATCGTAGCCCAAGAGTGTTTCAGTAAGAGCCATAAATTCGAGCCAAACATTTTTTTCCCATTAGTTTATCCAATAGATATTTATTACCTACTAAATACCAGTTAGAAAATATCTGTTCATCTGCAAAAGGTAGGGGTAGCTGATACCCAGGAGGGAGAGGTTCAGCCTTTGCTGTCAGTGTTACACATTTCATCTGTGGACAAGAGGCATGTCCCATGAAACAGGCACGGCTGTGGCTACGTTTCCTAAATGAATGTCCTTAAATGACAAGCATCTTAGCTTTCAGTTAATCCTGAAGTTTCTTCAGTCACTCTTTTCATGTGTGTTCTCTTCAGTTTGTGCTCTCATTCTCTAGAAAATTCAAAGGCTTATTGTTTGGTGGTTCCATCTGGAGTCCAGGACTACCTGTCTGGGAGTAAATAGGAATGTTAGTGGCATCTTGATCATCAAAGCTTATCTTACAACAGACCTGCCTAGAGCCTGCATTCATCCTTTCTACAGCCTGTTCTAAATCTTTCTTCCTGACAGCCTTTCCTTTATAGTCCTGACCTCATACACAAGCTATAACCCACAACTCATATCCTGTGGCAGACTACAGCTCACATTAGCCATTTAATGCAAATGCGTCTCAATCAAAGAAGAAAGGAAATTAAAATTTTCAGTGTCTATCTTCTCCCATTGGCCTTAGTTACTTTTTGCCCTTGGCATACTGGTATTTTATGTGGGCAGGGTGAAACTGGCTGTGGTCAGGGTGAGACTTTAAGCTTTTGATTTATTCCCTTATTTTGAAAGGGTTAAAAAGATGTTACATATTTTGGTATAATTTTAGTAGTAGTATTAATTTTTGTCATGTGTAAGTGAGGATGAAAAGAGTGCTCAATGACTTACTAGATCCATATTCTTGCAGAGAACATGTCTTCAAAAGGTGAGTCTTGATGACTTGACACTTGGTTTGGTTTGGTTCCCTTTTAATATCTTTTAGATAACAGCTTTATTGAGATATAATTCACATACTGTAACATTCATTCTTTTAAAGTGTACAATTCAGTGGGTTTTAGTATATTCATAGAATTGTGCAACCATCACCACTATCTAATATAAGGGCATTTTCATCACTCCCAAAAGAAACCCCATGCCCATTAGCAGTCACTCCCCATTCTTCTATCCCCACCCCCCACCTCCAGCCCCCACCAACCAATGTTCTATCTTTGCCTCTCTAGATTTTCCTATTCTGTATATTTCCATATAAATAGAATCATACCATAAGTGGCTTTTTGTGTCTAGCTTTTTTCACTTAGTGCAATGTTTCCAAGGTTCATCCATTTTGTCACATGTATCAGTACTTCATTTCTTTTCGTTGCCAAATAATATTCCATTGTATGGATATACCACATTTTATTTTATCCATTATTCAGTTGATGAACATTTGGGTTGCTTCTACTCTTTTGCTATTATAAATAATGTGGCTATGAACATTTGCATAGAGGTTTTTGTGTGGACATATATTCTCAGTTCTCTTGAGTATATACCTGGGATTGGGATTGCTTGGTCATAAACAATGTTTAACTTTTTGAGGACCTGCCAAACTGTCTTACAAAGTGGCTGCACCAGCTTCCAATCACTCCAGCAATTTATAAGGGTTCCAAGTTTTCCAATCTTCACCAAGTTATAATTGTCTTTTTAATTTTATTTCTTCTTTAATTAAAAAAAACATTTTATCATTTATACACATGGTAACACATGCACACACAGACTTGTAATGGAGAACCAACAGTCTCCAGCCCTGTTTCACCCTTCTTTGTACCAAGTCCCATTCTTAGCAAATCATCTTCCCTTTTTTTTTTGCTTTTCCAGTGGCTACCATCGTAATTCTAAAAATTTTTTGATTCATTCACTATTGTTTTTTTCACTTTTTATTACAAAAACTTCTACATATGTATAAAAGCAGACTAGTACGATCAACTCTCATCTACAGCAATCATCAACTCATGACAGCTCTAAACAACTTTAGATATCATGTATTGATTTCTCTATTGAAAAATGAGGGTTTACTTCATTTACATTACCTCTTCCAAGTTTGTTTAATTCTTCTATTAGCTTTGCAATTTTGAATAAATATTTAAACTTCTTGTTCTGGTTTCATCAACCTTAGAATATATTGTTTAACTGACCTCTTCTCCCTGTCAGCTGGCGATATTAGTGCCCCTCTTCTCTTTCTTTACTTCTGCTTTTACTTCCCAACCATTTTCAGCTCTACCTTTTATATTGTCAGGTGGATAGCACTTACAGTCTGTTCTCTAACCATAATTAAGTCTTCTGTGCTTTGTATATTGGTTGGTTATAAGATTTGAAAATCAAGAAAATTTACATTATTATAACTTTAAATATTGTTCTTTGCAGAGCCATGTAATGTGTGGGGATTACTTATTTTTCCTATAGACTTAATATAACAATCCTTGTGCCATGGGAGAAGAATATTCTAAGCATCCAGTGGACACCTTTTTGATTCAGAAATATTGGTAGTCGGTAGGACTCACGGACCCACTCTGCAAACTCTCTTACTTATCATTTACATCTTATGGTGCCTTGTATTCTTTAATTATCTTGTGCATTATGTCCCCAAACTAGGAGAGGGAACTCCTTGAGAGGGAAGTGGTATTTCCTTTTGGTCCCACAGCATTTGTGGTCTCTCAGTAAATTAAATTGGTTTTCTTAAAAGTTGCAAACCATAACTTCATTTGTCAGGTAAGCATAGCCAATACCATTAAATGCCATTGCTGTTTGATTATACGTATACTTTATTTTATGATGTGTTATAAATATATAAATATTTAAAAATTAAAGCTATTAAAAACTAATAAATTAAAATATTCAGCTTCAACACCACTCTGAAATTTTCTTTTGCATGTTCATCTTTAACCTTTCCAAGAAGTTTCTCAATGTTCTCTTCTTGGCTTCATTCACAGCACAGTCTTTCTACAAAAGAAACATTTCATTAGCTTGGATTGGTAAGCATTTGAGTCTTGCTGTCATGCCTGTCTACCTGATCAAGCCTATTCTGGCACTTGCCACCTGAACAATTATCAAACCAGGGCCTCCAGTCAAGCTTGATTGGAAGTCTGATTCTGCCACTAAGCCAGCAGGAATTGCCTGTTTTGGGTACGTACTACTTACACTACTAGAAATGGTTACTATACCACTACTACCTCTCTGCCTTGAGGGGTTGCCACAGTCTCTGAAGAGGCATGTCACAGCTAGGTGCTGCTCAGAAGGAGTAACATGAACGTGCAGGCTCAGACCTCCCCTTTGCCATACTGCACCTTCTGAATGGCTGCCTGGACTGCTGAGAGAGAGAACTTCCTGCCCATTAAACAGCACCACAGCGTAGTAGCCCTAAAGGTGGAAAGGATTCCAGGTACCTGCCACCAGCTACTGCTTCAGTTTGAATCTCACCTCTACCATTTATTATGTTGCTTAGGACAAGCTGCTTAAGTTACAAAAGCTTCCATTTCTTCCTTTGTAAAGTGGGGACAGTAGTTTGCCTGCTTGCTTGCTTTATAACATAATTAAAAGGGTTAAAAGAGAGAACGCGTTTTGTGTCAGGTCCCTGTTCCATTACTTTACCTTATAAATAAGGCAGTAGGCCCACGGAGGGGACTAATGTCTCTGCTCTTCTCTAAAGCCGATTCCTCCACTTGGCATTAGAAAACACCCACTCTTGGCTACAAGGACTTCTGTCCTTGTATTATTCTCCCTCTTTCCTATATCATCAATTCTCCTTTCTCTTCTGGATCATTCCCATTGGCTGAATATATGCCCCACCTTCAAAGAACTTTCCTCACTCCACACCTGCCCTTCAGCTCCATTTCTCTGCAATCTTACAGCAAAACACCTCAAAAGCGTTTTCTCTCCTCACTATCCCTTCTTTTTCACCTCTCCCCACTCCATCCTCTACTGAACCTGCTCCAGTTAGGCTTTCATCCCTGCCTCTCCATTTATATCAGCATCACTGATAATCTCCATCATGCCAAATCCAATGGCCATTCTCACTCTTCATCTTACTTGACCTTTCCATACATTTGACACAGTTTATCACTCCCTCCTTCAAGGAGTTTCTTCACTTGCCTTCTGGGGCACAACACACTGCTCAATTTTATCCGACTTCACTGGCTACTTCTCAGTTCCTTTGCTGGAGCCTCCTTCCTGACCTCTCTATGTTGGAATACCTCCAAGGTCAGTCCTTGTATCTCTTTCTTCCTCCATTATTCAGACTTTAAATAATATCTATCTGAGGACTCTCCATTTTGTATTGCAAGTTCTGATCCCTCCCCTAAGCTGCAGTTTTTTCTAACCATCTTAACGTCTCCACTTGGCTATCCAATAGGTACCTCACATGTGATATATACAAAATTGAACTCTTGATCTTCCATACAGCTTCCAGTCCTGCTTTGCCCCCAGTGTTCCATATCTCTGTAAACAGTACCAGCCATCCCCAGAGGGCTTCAAGCAGGAACCAAGAGGTCGCCTTTTACTTCTCTGTCTCTCACTCTTCACGACCCATCTGTCAGCAAGTCCTTCTGGCTCTGTCTTTAGTTATATCCCAAATCTCACTGCCTCAGGTGCTCCCCCCATGCAGGCCACCATCATCTCTAACTTGGTTTACTCTAGTACCCTCCCAGAAAGACATCTTGCTTCTATGCTTAAACTTTCCTATTTAGTCTGTTTACCACACAGTAGCCAGAGTGATCCTTTTACATCACATAAATCAGATCATAGTCTTTGCCCTGCTCCAAACTCTACAAGTGTTTCCCACCATACTTGGGGCAAAATCTAAAGGCCTTGCATGATCTGATCTTCTACTGAACTTCCCCTTGCTCACTCTGATCCAGCCACACTGGCCTTCCTACTGATCTTCGAACACATGAAGCTCATTTCCACCTTAGAGCCTTTATATAGCCATTCCTTCTGCCTAGAATGTTTTTCCCCAGTTAGTCGTGTGGGCCGCTCTCACAATTCAAATGTCTGCTCAGATAATATCAACTCCTAAGTCAGCCCCCTACCCTGTGATCCCTATGTTCTTTATTCCTGTATTTTTCCTCATAGCACTTATCACTACTGGACATCATATTACATGTTTGTTTTTCTAAATTTCCCACTAGAACATTCCACGAGAGCAGGGACTCAGCCTGCTTGTCTCTGATGCTGCGTCCCCCATGCCTAGAACAGCACCTGGCACTTGTAGAGCCTCCACAGATACTTGTTGAACTAACGAATGTGTTGATTGATCAAGGGTGCTACAACTCAGGAGGAATGTCTAGAAGTGAGGCTGCTGTCCATCAGGAGCCAGGGTGTCAGCTTACCGGTAATGCAATGCAGCTTACCATATCTGTCATGCTGTAGAGGTTCCTGTCAAGTCCTTTCAGGTATTTAATCAAGAACCCGTGCTGAAGCACAGTTGCATTCCTGCAGGTTTCCTTCTCATGGTGACTATAGAACTGCCGAAGTGCAGTCGCAGCCCTGCAGAGGGTTTCCATCTCAGATGTGTTCTAGAAAGAGAAATGCCACAGATAGCCATGTGCCAGCTCTATTTTGAACAAGGGAGGTATATTTTTCCTCTTGATTTCTTCTTTTCAAATGGAGAAAGTGAGTTTGGCCAACTATGGATACATATTCAACTATTCCTGCCACATGAATGAAGGCTGCTCATCATATCCTAAACATCTGTAAACAGCCTCTCTCAATTATGTGCAAATGCAGCAACCTTCTTCTCAGAACCTCGCAATTTCTTTTCCCTTGGAGGGTTTTGGTGAAAGGGTACCTGAATAAAGTCACCCCACTAGGTAAATGGCAGAGTGGGGATCTGTCTCTGCAGCCTGTGTTCATGTCTTTGTACCATGTGAGCTGTTCTTTCTATGCAAAGTACCCACATTAGCTCTTAGTTAGATTCTGCTCTCGCTACTACACAGTTTTAAAATCCAGCTTTCCCTGGAAATCCTACATACTTGTTGAATAAATGGATGCCTAGCCTTTGGTCTGGACACTGCAGCTCTGGGCAGGACTCTCCATTTGGCCCTCCCCATGGAAGATAGTGCATGTAGAAGTTTATGGTCCAAGTGAGGAGATAGGACATTTCCCCATACAGCGAGATGTGAGTGCCCAGATTGGGGCAAGGTGCGTCAGGAGACTGGCCCAGAGAGATCAGGGGAGGCTTCTGGAAGAGGGTACCATTGAGCTGGGCTAGTCCTTGGACAGACCTTCTGCAAGGGGCCTTTGACCTTGAATGGTGCAGAGTCAGAACTTCCTTGGAATGCTGGCAGGTCTGACATGGGTCTGGCCACATGGCTCTTCCTGGGGATGTTGGGCCTTAGAAGGGGACATGTACAAGCGGGGAATCTTGTTAGGATTGTATTTCAGGGCTGAGCCCGTGGCGCACTCGGGAGAGTGCAGCGCTGGGAGCGCAGCAGCGCTCCTGCCACGGGTTCGGATCCTATATTTAGATGACCGGTGCGCTCACTGGCTGAGCGCGGTGCGGCTGGTCTCAAAAAGGACAAAAAAAAAAGGATTGTATTTCAGTCTGAAACAGACCTTGAGTGTCCTCTCATTTTCCACTGAAGAACAAAGGCATGGAGCCTGAAGAGTGGTCTTAGCTTGAGCCTCGTTTCCCTATCTCATTTGGATAAAGAAAGGTCTCTCTGGCCTCTGCTAGGACATGCTCTAGTGCCTTACTATTCGAAGTGTGGTCCATGGACCAGCAATATGGACATCACCTAGGAGCTTGTTAGAAATGCAGAATCTCAGACTCCCCGTTCCAGAGCCAACAAATGAGAACGTGCAGTGACAAGATTCCCAGGGGATTTATATGAGAAGCACTGTCCCAGCAGTTTTAAGTTTTTATAGTTACATGTTTTTTCTGATTATCAAGGTAATATGCATTTATTATAAAAGTAATATATATTCAATAAAAAATGAAATCACTCATCTAACTGGCCGGAGATAACTACTGTTAATATTTTGGTAAGTATCTTCCGAGGTTTTTTTTAATACTTTTTTTCAAAATAGAGGCCAACTATTCATACTGTTTTGTAACCTTTTTACACTTAACATATACTACAGGCATTTTCTTAAAGTCATTCAATAGTGTTTAAGAACATGAGATTGAGAGCTGCATAGAAACCCATTGCGTATGTGTACCATAATTTATCAGTTCCCTGGCAGTGCAGTTTTTTGCTTTTGTAAATAATGCAACACTGAATAACCTATGTAAATCTTTGTGTTTATCTTGTATTTCTGTAGGCTACATTCTAGAAGTGTTCATATTTTAAGGTTTTTACAGGAAGATCTAGACCCAGATGAGGCACCAGAATCTCAGATGACAAAAACTTCCCCTTCCCCCTGTAGGGCTTGATGTCCCATGGGTAGGACTGTTGGAAGGGCATTTAGTTAATGAACTGGTTGAGAAGCACCCCTGGTTCCTGATTCTAGAGGAAAATTTAAGAGCAGTGCCAGTATCTCTGGTCTCTGGGAGTCAAGAAACCTCCTTCAGTTAGCTCAGTTGTTTCGAGCGTGGTGCTGATAACACCAAGGTCCAGGGTTTGATCCCTGTACCAGCCAGCTGCAAAAATATAGATAAAAATAAATTAAAAAAAAACAAAACAAGAAACACTGGCTTCTTTAAAAAAAGGGAAAAAAAAGCCCAAAACTTAAAATTAAAACCATCACCATACTCTCTGGGTTTTGTGGATGAATAGAGGTGGTGAGGACAAGTGGAAGGCAGGTTCTGCCCATGTATCCAGATATAGGCACATGCCCATGTTGCTGTAGAAAGAACAATGAGATTCAAGAAAGCCAAAAGAAGAGCCCCCTTGACTTATTTTTCCATCAAAACTTAGATTTTTCTGAAACTCTGGCTTGGAGCCTAAAAATTAAACTGCCTCTTAGTTTTGACCAGTATATGGCCACATAATATAGGAAAAACCATCTAAAGATATTTTTCAAAGGACTTTCTCGAGGTAATTAGGATAAAACAGGGATTTAATAGAGTCTGCATCAAATGGAAACACTTTAAAAGAACTAATTCTAAGGCAGTTTTAGTCAAAGGCTTTAACATTTCAGTCTCACTGGTATTGCAGCAAAAGGGTGACACTCTGTTCCACCCTTGGTTTCTGGTCCAGAATGCTTTCATCTTCCTGTCTAACTGCCTGAGCGTGTCTAGCAGTGCTCTGGGGCACTGTGACAGCCTAGGGGACCTTGCAGTTCAGAACTACTCAGGAAGGGACTCAAAAGGAGGGCCTACATTGATGCCAGAAGGAAGTCTGTCCCTCAAGGGAATGTCAGGAAATGGACACCTGAGAGATTTCTTCTGTGGCAGTGACTTTTAGAGTTCTAACTTGGTTATTGTCCAGCCTCATTTAGGGCCGTAAAAATCCAATTGTATTGGTATTGCATTCATTACCTCCAATTCTGCCCAAATTTAGTCAGCTAGTGCTATGTATGAGAAAATCCTTTAAAAAACAAACAAAACCTATTTGAGGTTCAGTATGAAGCTCTCTGAAGAATTATGGACTTTAGCTGTCTTGGTGGGTTGAAAATACTTCTACCTAATCATCCACCCAAGAAATTCTTCATAGACCACCCAGCTTGCTTGCTTTCCTCTTTGCTCTTCTTCAGATAGATAAACTTAGTTGTGTAGGTACCTGGGTAGGTGTTGCCTATGAAGCCCAGGACTTAGGGCAGTACATTCTTTCCAGCAACTTCCAAGAGCAGGATTCTGCCCAACTTAGAGATACTAGAATTCTTGATCCCCAAAAGAGGTAAAATCAATACACTGGACCTTAGAAAGATGTTCTTCTTTGGGACACAAAGAAGCACTTTTTCCTACCACCTACCACCTCTGTGAGTTTTTAAAAATAACCTCTCCCTGTTCCAAAATATCTTAATATATAAGAGGCAGCGCTCAGGCTTTGAGGGAAAGAAAAGAATGGAAGAGTGAGATTGTTAATTCCAGGAGGAATAGAAGCGGTCCGGGGGAAGGCATATGAGATGGGTAAGGGTGAAGGAAGGCAGGGGGACTTGTTGTAGATGTCTGTGTGTGTGGTGAGCAAGGTACGTGACAAGTGAGCAAAGAATGGGTGGGCAGCAGTATGGTGAGGCCTGGCCTGCGTGGGGTGGGGGCTGGGTCTTCTAGAAACAGCCCAGAGACAGTCACCCCAGGCTTGGGGTCATAGAGGGTTTGATCATTTCCAACCTCTTTCTTAGAATTATTGCTTCTCCACAACCTGTCTTTGCCTTTAATCAGGTTATATCATCTTACAATAACACTTTCCACTAACTCAAGGGCTGGATTCCAATCAACCTTCAGATCACCTTCAACATCACTTTCATACCTTCAAATGTGGAAATTCAGGTGCAAAGAGATGTGAAGACTTGCCAAAGGCCACATAGCTAATTAGTGGCAGAACTAGGGCTAAAGCCACAGATTATTTCACTTGAGACCCTCGGCACTTCCTCCAGGGCCTGTTCCTAGGGCGCTGGTCCCTTCCTTTGGCTTTGGCAGAGCCTTCTCAGTGGTGCAGCAAGCCTCTGGAAAACCCAGAGCACAACCCACTGGACTCTTGATTTCTAGTAGGTTAGTAGGTATCGTCTGGGTTGGAAGGACATGGAGATTTTATATATATAAAAGTATATATTTATATATGTGTATATATGTATATACACACATACACGAGGGGTCTTCAAAAAGTTCGTGGAAAAATTTGTATTTTAATTCTGTTTTCCCACAAGTGGTTTAAGTACCCTCATATATAATTATGTATCTTATATCTATATATGTATGTGTGTGTGTGTCTGTGTGTGTAATTTTGTTCTTCAGAATCTGATCCTGTGTCAGACTGCTGGTGATCTGTAATGCAATGAGATATTCCAGATAAAGTCCTGAAGAACAGTTTCCTGAAGAAGTAGGATAGCCCTGTTCTACTGCTTGGATGCTGGGGTGTGACCCTGCCCAGCCCACAGGGCTTCACTCCTGGCCAAGTCACCCCCTCTGGTACACATGGGAAGCCGGTAGTGAGGAGACCACTGGTAAATTGAGGCTTTAGGGCTTTCATTCTCAGTTGTGTGTTTCCATGAAAACAGGAACTGAAGCGCACAAAGCTATTGATACGGCCGTAGTCATGTGTTTGTCAGAGAAAATGCACTATCAGCTGTCAAATCTATCTCCTCCCACTACAGATAGAGGGGCGGGGGTGAGGCGGCACAGGAGCAGAAAGGCGAGATGCCCAAACAGCCAGAAGCAGGGATGTGTTGGACTCATCCCACAGGACGGTTCCGGACCAGGCTGGAGGGGAGTTTGGCAGGACATGGCAAGCTGAGGGTCTCTAAACAGCCAGCCTCAGACCCAGTGGGCAATTAAGTGACCAGACTGTGGAAGAGGAGGCACTCGGCGATACCTTTTCTGTTGCCATAGGAAGTCTCTTAGACAAAATGAAAGCTCCCTCAACCTGTAATTTTAATATCTGTTTTTGTGAGAGTATTTGGTTTTTCAGAAATGTATGGGCCATATAAATTCTCTCATTAAACAGGCATTTATTGAGTGCCTCTTATGTTCCAGGTACTAAACTAAGGCTGGGTAAAACCTAAAGAGCTTTTCCTTGACCAGGATCTGAATTAGTATTACAAAATTCAAGCTTTCTATTACACACCTTCTAAATCAAGTGAAACCAGAAACACCAAAACATGCTTAAGAGTGAAGATCAGAATTCTCATTCTTTGAAAACAGTTAGCATCTTAGAGTTAATTGGGCCTGCTCGTTTTCCATTAAAGAAGTTTCTTGTTCAAACACTTGTGGACGGCTTTCCTCTCCCAAGTCACCCACCAGCCAGAGCAGACCACAGAACAGCTTCTTACCTTGGGGACATCAAAGACGTCTGCTATAGTCAACTTGGTGTACGGAGACTTGGCCCAGGCAGGGACGAGAGAGAGCAAGAGACAGAGTTAGCTTCCAACTAGACAGAGAAATCCTTGTTAAGCATCTCCCACTCTCTCAAACTGAGAACACTTCCTACAATCCCTCAGAAAAAGAAGTCTCGCTATGCTCCCTGTCCTGCCACCAGCCCTCAACTCCCAATTTCTCTAGCCATTGTTATGTTCTTATAGTCTAGAAATACCCATAGCACCACCAGCACATCTGGAGAGATGGTGCCAGATAGGTTACTCACCTTGTCCTTTTCGAGGAAGTTCAAGGTTGTGATGATCTCTGGTAAGGTAATATTGCACTGACGTCTGCGGACAACGTTGCCGGAACATGCTAGTAGGCAGAACAGAGTGGGGATCAGTTGTAGGGAGGTGAGACCCATTAATAGATCTCTATTTGCAGTGACAAGGTGAGACAATTAGTTTATCAGGAGAAGCTAACAATGCAATTCTGACAAAGATATCTCTATATATAGATTTAAAATTGCTGAAACCGAGGGAAAATGAGTTTACATTGGAAATTTTCGTTACAAAAGATTGTCAGTCATTTGGGGCCAATCAGCACCTCTCTTCCAGGAGAAAAAAATGCCTCACAGAAACAGGTAAAATGTTCCTGTGAAATCAGACCAATAGGAAAATGAAACTTTTTTTTAAAATTAACTACAAAGTTTCAGCATAGGAAATTACACCATAATTTGTTTTTTAGATTAATCTTATCAGCTTGGGGTTGCTGCTGGCGTTTTGCTTTGCACAGAAAGCAAAGGCCACAGGTGTCCGAATTCATTTTAGTGAGTCCTCCTGGGGAAAGATAGAGTAATATCAAGAAAGTTTGACTTGAATAGTATTTCAACCTGGCTTTTTCCAAGTACAGTGGCATCTTGGAAACTCTCCTGTCGTGGAAAAGCTGATCTGGGGTTCTTTCTCGGGTGGAAAGAGAATAACGGGCACAGATTCCCTCCTGTCCTATCACCGGGACAGGCCGTTCTTCCAAGTTTAGGTCTTTGGAGAAGGACAGGTAACATCAGGTGGGGCTTAGTTTGGGTCGCAGCAGGGCATAAGATCTTTACCAGTGGGGAGGTCCTCAGCAAGGTTTTAGGAATGACCAGCTTTTAAAAAAATGTATACTTTTAAAAGTTGACATAATTGTACATATTTATGATGTACAAAGTAATATTTTGATACATGTATACAATGTGTAATGATCAAATCAGAGTGATTATCATATTCATCACATCCCTATATGGGATCCGAACCCGGGGCCTTGGTGTTATCAGCACCGCACTCTCCCGAGTGAGCCACCGGGCCGGCCCAAAAAATGTATACTTTTAAAAATTGACATAATTGTACATATTTATGATGTACAAAGTAATATTTTGATACATGTATACAATGTGTAATGATCAAATCAGAGTGATTATCATATTCATCACCTCAAACATTTATCATTTCTTTGTGTTGGAAACATTCAAAATCCTCTTTTCTAGCTATTTGAAAATACACAATAAATTGTTAACTACAGTCACCCTGCAGTGCTGTAGAACCCTGAAACTTATTCCTCCTGTCTAGCTGTGAGTTGTATTCGTTAACTAACCTCTTCCTATACCCTCCTCCCCCTCCTTTCCAGCCTCTAGTTACAACTATTCTACTCTCTACTCCTATGAGCTCAACTTTTTTAGCCTCCACATATGAGTGAGAACATGCAATTTTTGTCTATCTTTCTGTGCCTAGCTTATTTCACTTAAAATTCAGGAATGACCACTTTTTAAATGGAACTTAAACACATCCTCAGCTAATTAGGAAGAAGAGCCACAATCTTACCAATTTACACATCAGTTCTCTTTGTCCATGCCCCCGACCCCCTGTTGTTTTAATCTAATTCATGTGGACCTGAGGAGGTGCTCATCACCTCACCCCAACAGTGAACTAAGGACCTCACTGTGCACTTAGGTGCCTGTGGGTGCAGTGTCCTCTTCTGCCCCATGACCCTCCCCACCCTCTGAAGAAAGGGCTCAAGCTCAAGGGGCAGCAGGACTCCTGGGTCCTGGCACACACACTGCTTTTCTCTCCCACAGCTTTTCCTCTCCGGTTCCCTTCCTTTGGCTTCTCACTTTCCTCTTCCTACTAATTTCTTCCGGAAGATCATCTAGAAATGTTTGTTGCTAAGGTTGTTCCTGAGTTTTGGCTTTTTTAAAATATTTTTTTAATTGACAAAAATTTTATGTATTTATGATGTACGATGACATAATCTTTTGAAATATGTAGACATTGTGGAATTGCTGAATCAAGCTAATTAACATAAGTGTTACCTCCCATGCTTATCATTTATTTGTAGTGAGAACACTTAGAATCTACTCTGTTAGTGATTTTTAAGTAAACAGCACATTGTTATTGACTATAGTCACTATGTTATATAACAGATCTCTTGAGCTTATTCATCTGGCCTAACGGGAATTTTGTATCCTTTGACCAAGATCACCTCCTTACCCCGACCCCAGTCCCTGGGAACCACCATTCTACTCTCTGCTTCTGTGAGTTAAACTTTTTAGCTTCCACATACAAGTGAGATCATGTGGTATTTGCCTTTCTGTGCCTAGCCTATTTCACTTAGCATAGTGTCCTCTAGGTTCATTCATGTTGTTAAAAATTATAGAATTTTCTTCTTTTTATAAGGCTGACTAGTATTCCATTGAGTATATATAGCTTTGGATCTTATCACAGTGCCGGAAGCTCTGTGAAGGAGAGAATCTGGATAATTGTATCAGGAAGGTCCTTAGACCATACTTAGGTTCCTTCCACTGGGTCTGTGCAATAAGGTTGCAAACTCAGTGCAGTGACTTCTGACACCAACTACCTGGCGTTGAGCCAAACTTCACAGGTCAGGGCACAGTCCTCCCTAGTCCACCCTCACTTCTGACTAACTGGATACAAATTTGGGAGTTTGTATTACTCCCTAAGATTCAATAATTCACTAGAATGACTCACAGAACTTAGGAAAGTGCCTATGCATAAGGTCACAGTTTCATTATAGCAAAGGATACAAATCAGACAAAACCAGCTAAAAGAGGAGACACAAAGGGTAAGGTCTAGGAGGATCCCAGACAGGAAGCTTCCATTGTCTTCTCCCTGTGGAGTCAGAGTGAGTCACTCTCTCAGCAACCCAATGTGTGACAAAATGCAGAGTATTTCCTTACCAGGAAGGTGCACCTGAGCTGTGGTGTCTGGAGTTTTTATTGGAGTCTCGCTTGGCAGCATAGCTGATTGAGTCATTGCCCAATCAGTTGAACTCATCCTCCAGGCCCCTCCACAGAGGCCAGGCTAATATCACAGTAGCTCAGTGGCGAGGCCAGCCCCCATCCTGAGTCATCTTGTTAGCACAACCTATCTAGGGGCCCACCCTGAATCACTTCATTAGCATAAACTAGCAGGGCCCACCATGAATAACAAAGATACTCATCACTCAGAAAATTCCAAGGATTTTTTTTTTTTCCTTTTTGTCTTTTTTTCATATCCGGCAACGGATCACAACCCTCAGTGTCGCGCCCGTACCGGACCAGGACTGGCAACGGGATCGCAACCCTCGGTGTTGCTCCCACACCTCGCTCAGCCAGTGAGCGGGAACTGGTCTGTATGTGGGATCCGAACCCTCCCCGGGAGCGCCGCCGCACTCCCAAGCGGCGCACTGTAGCAGTGCGCCACCGGGCCGGCCCGAAAATTCCAAGGATTTAGAAGCTACCTACCAGAAACTGGTGACAAAGACCAGCCAAATTCTTTATTCTAAGGGTTTGTAGCCAGGTGGATCACCCAGGAGCTGGGACAAAGTCCAGATGTCTCTTTGGGTAAAGTTGATTCTTCACTACACAGACTGGGAGAAAATTTATGAGAAGAGCATATGGTTCCTTCCAGGAAAGGTGGGGACCTCACATCAGGATTAACTATCATGTGGAGTGAAGTGGAGCAGAGGCTCCACTTACAGCACTAGGGAGCTTGTCGAAAGAGCATAGACACGCTAGAGGAGTTACAGTAAATAGGTTTCTGAGGGCAGTGGGGGTGCAAGGGAGAGCTGGAGGAGAGAGGCGGGGATCTGGAGTGTCTGAGAGACGATGGGAAAGCCATCGTGATTCAGTAGGCATCTCTCTGAGCACACACTAAGGGCCAAACCCTGGGCTTGAGGCTCTGGGGGCAAAGATGGTGGGTCAGAAAAGGAATATAATGTGGCAACCTTTAGCTCAGAAGCAGAATACAGCTTGTTTTGTTTGTTTCAATGGTTGAATGAGGTGGTGGGGGGTGAAGGGGAGAATAAACTTTCCAGAAGATGAGGGTGTGACCAGAAGGTCCCCTCAAAGAGCAGAAGGAGAAGATGAGCCTTCCTCCCCTGCAGTGACAGCACTATGGCAACTGCAGGTGTGGCTGGCTGGCTGGGCAGTGGTTGGGAAGGTGGGTGCTGCACTATCAGGGACAAAGAGCAGAGCAGCGGCCACCGCCATCCACCACCACGAAGGAGCCTCCAAGCCTGCAGGAGTTATGGCAAGCATTGGGTGCTGGGTGGGCACCAAAGCTCAAGAAGGAAGGCGAAGTCTCTGCTGGGTTCTGGCTGTGTCAGTCACAGACCCTCCCTTCATCCTGCCTGAGAGCTGAGGAGCAGCACTGTCCCCTCTATGCCACAGAGCTCTCCTTTCAGGGCCTGGAAGTTAGCCATTATGAGCACAGGCTCTTGGGGTGCAGCAAACAAGCCACTTATCAGCCCTGTGACCATGGGCAGATCCCTAACTCTCTCTGAGTCTCAGTCTCCTCCTCTGTGAACTGGGAATAATGCAGCTCTTCCTCATGAGATTCCTGTGAGAAGCAAGTGAGAGATTTCATGGAAAGTTCTTGGTACTTCATGGAAGGCCCGAAGGCAGGCGCTTGCAGGCCCCGGGAGGAACTGAAGAAAGCTGGGGCACCTGGAAGGGGAGCGTGGATGGGGGGGCAGTTAGAACACAGCAGTGGTCCTGTGACAGAGGAAGCTGGCATGGACAGGGTGGGACAGTGGGAACGGGGGCTGTGGATTTGGGAGTCATTGGGCAGCAGCTCAGAGTTGAAGTTAACACCAGGTGTCCTGGAGTCAGTGGGACCTGGCTGGTTCTGCATCTCAGCTCTGGGTGACCTTGGGAAAGCTACCCTGAGGATTCTCTGTAAAATTGGGCTATCAGGAGTGTGGAAAGATTATATGAGGTAATAAACATAAGTGCTTAGTGTGGTGCCTGGCACGTAGTAAGCCCTAAATAAATGCCACCTATCATCATCACATCATTATAACCAGCACGTGGAATTGGTTGAGTATGGGCAGCAAGAAGACTGAGAAGTCACAGATGGCCCCAGAGATGGGGCTGAGGAGGGCAGGAGC